CTCTCGCTGCCTTCTGTCACTTCTTTGCAGCAGACAGAGCTGACACGAGCAGACCCGCCTCCGCTGAACCGGTTGCCGCATCTACAGTCAGTGCTGAGTCAGCGCTTACGGCTCTCCAGGTGCCCCAGCAGCAGTTGGATTATTTCCATGCTGAGTTACTGCCCTCGATAAATGGAAGTGCCCCTGGGGGGATGTTTTCCCTGGGAGAGCTTTCTGTATTCAGAGGAAGGAGTTTAAACACCGAGAGGGCAGTGAAAGGCGTGTCGGTTTTCCACCCAGGGGAGTTTTGTGCGGCACTCCTGAGCAAGACGCAGCAGCTCGGGAGCCGCGCCGTGAGCTTTCGGCTGCAGCAGGTCCCAGGGAGGAGTTCATTCGGTGAGGACCCGGTGAGACACCTCACAACCCAGAGTGTTCCCCAAACAAGCAAACCCCAAACAAGCAAGGGTTAAGGTGAGCTTCAGACGTGCTCACCCTCCGTGCAGAGCTGAATTGCACCCGCTCGGTCGCTCCTTGCCCTCCGAGTCGCATGTCTTCATCGTGAAGCAGCAAGAAAGAGAAAACATGTTTTTTTTGTTTTCCCCCTTGTTTTTTTTTCTGTTTAAATGGCTACCACAAAAGCTAGCTGAAGAGCTTAGGAGCAGCTGCACTATCAGAAATTATTCTTACCTCATTAAAAAAATGTATCCTTTTAAAATGAGAGCGGCAGAATGGAGATTAGAGCTTCTAGTGCTTCGCCGGGTGTTACTTAGTACCTGTGGATCATTACATTGATAAAAATATGTACAGACTCACTTTTCAGGTTTAAAAGTGTTTTGTCCTTTTGTTTGCTTAGCTAAATAAAGAGGGTTTTTTTGACCTGTGATTTTGAATCCAGCTGGCTTTTTCATATTCAGTGACTCATTCAAAGCAGCCTGCAGAGTTGGTCTCGTTTCCACCGTTACACCACTGATTTCAGCAGAAGCCCCACAGAAAATCAAGCCGGGGGGGGGGCTTTCGGCCCAGCTCCCGACCAGGCCTTCCACACCAGAGCTGTGCTCTTCTTTCTGTAATTGCTCCCGCCGAAATGAGGGAGCTAATCACAGAGAGAGGTACTTCACGCAAGCCAGATTGCCAGGATCTGGCCTTTCAAGGTGCTGAAGGTCCCGTAAGATTTTCAAGGTTAGTAATAAACCATTAGTTTCTAATGAAAACTGGAGCTGAGGCCGACGACTTCCTGCCTCAAAATGGTAATTTTTTATAATGAGATACTGTCATTATCTTGGCTGATGTGCAATAGAGCATCACTGGTTTTAGTGGGAGCAGGCTGGGAGCTCTTTAGACCAAGATTGACATTATTTTATCTACTTCAGAATAAGCCAAAGAATTTTTAAGGGTGGTAAAGCAGGAAATCTCATTTCCATTTTCAGTAAAGGCTACATATAATATATCATTACCAAGCATTGAGCCTGATCCCTGCCCCTAACTCAGTGTGTGTTTTCTCCCCTCACAGACTGCACCGTTGACGTGAGAACGTAAAAACCGAGCACACGGGCCCGCAGGGACAAGGAAAGATCCGTGCTCACCACTGGTAATGACAATTTCTATTGCAGTTTTGCAGTATCCACGCAGGCAAAGTTGACTTTTGGAAATACAGGATCAGACAGAGTACATGGTTGTCCCCCTGGCTGGCTCCCATCGGGGCTGCGCGGGGGTCCTGGCGATGCACTGCCCAGCGACTGGCCACAGGGGCTCCAGGAATTTTTGTCTTCCACAAACCATTTCTTGACCAAGGTAAAAGTGCCATCATCTGACAACGGGAGGAGTTTGTGGGTCCAGATTCTGCAAATGTATCACCATTTTCTCAAATAAATGTCTGCTGTTTCGATAAAAAATTCAGCAAGGAAAGTATAGGCATCATGCTATACACAACTCCTGGACTTCCTCCATCAGGAATTGCAGCTCTTCTTTTTCTAAAGTGAGATGTTATTTGGGGAGACGAGAGATTATGTAGCCTGCTTTATGTTATTCTGCTCAGGTATCCCTGCAGATCAGGACTCGCTTTGAAAATGAAAGGCCGTATTTTACTGCAAGCGGGTTGACGTCAGTTCCACTCTCAGGGCTAACCAAAACCATCAAAATACTCTCTCCTCTTTTGCCTTAGTCTTTCCCAGAAATTATGAGTCAGCAAAAGCTTTCTGAACGTGGTATATAGAAAAAACCCCACATTTGTGCTGTCCCAATAAAATGAATGGCTAAGATCACCGTAACCCACATTTGCTTCCTAGAAGAGGGTAAGAATGCTCGAGGAAATACCTTAAAAGTGTCACATTTCTAACAGGAGGGATCCAGCTTTATTTTGTAGATACAGTAAATCATTAGGGAAAGTGCTAAACGGAAAATGTGGCCATATAGTAAAAAAATGAAACAAAGCAAATAACATGTTGGGCTAAAAATGGAAAAGTAACTCACCTAAGTCCTTTTCGCTCCGGGATTAAGTGGTTTATTACTGAAGTAGGATTCTATCCATCTGAGTTTTCTATATCTAATTTTTATACAGGTTGTTGCTGCTTAATGAATCTATGGTGAAAATCCCTGATGCCCAGCTCCTGACAGAGTTAACGGAGGGAGGTGGCACCAGGGGTGGTCTCTAGCAGATTCTGTCTCCCTAACTTCAGGGTCTATAAGTACGCACAAGAAATTTCTCCTAGGGGCTTTTAGAGCCAATGCTGGTCTTCAGAGCCTGCACAGGCTGCCGGGAGCCTGCTCAGGTCCTAGTCAGCATCTCACAGCTGGGTGCAGGTTCAGTGCCGGGGTGTGAGGACCTGCATCCCGGCCTGGAGCGCTGCCTGCAGGAACGAGTAAGGGAACCGATGGCAACCCTGCCCTGCGGTTTTACTGCGGTCCACACCAGAAAGACAAAGATTTATGAGACTAAATCCTAGCAGATGGCAGGTTTTCCAGTTTTACCAGAAAGTTTTGACAGATTTCACCAGTCCGAGGCACTCACTGCTCTTTTCTCTCAGCAGTTACTACCGTGGGTGATGCAGCATCTTTGGCTGAGTCTATGCAGGTTATTAGAGCAGGGCCAGGATGCTCCAGCCAGCAGTCCCTGGCTTTGCAGGGGGTAAAGAGCTTAGGCACGCTCTGTTCCACCCAGCCGCAGGCCTTACCCTCTTTTATTTACTAGCTTAGAGGTAGCGTATGAGATGAGGGCTTAAAAGAGGGAAAAAAAAAAATCTTTCTCACCAGCAACTTTAGAGTTCTTAATCCAAGCAGTGTTTTGAACTGTCATAAGATCTGGTTTAAATCGTATTTGTAACATCACTGCAACAGTGCCCTGATGAACTGCACGCCTGAAGGTATTCATCAATTACAACGTCACATTTGTCTTTATCAGAATTGATAAAAATAATGGGGCTAGCAGAGTCTGGAATACAGTTGTTTGGGTTTTTTTAATTGAAGTATCTTTGTATTATCAGCGAAATGATAATGGTTTTCATAATACTTGCACTCACATAAATACAGCATTACTGATTCACAGCCTCGCTGAGGCTTGTTGGATCCTTGTGGCCCCAGCTGCTCCAGCAGGCAAATGCTTGATGCATTGCCCAGTCATAAGCCGGGATACACATTAGTCCAAACTTTTTATATGATAATATGCACATAAAAATAACCTGTTTCAGCCCTTAAATACAAATTGAAATGGTAGTGATAAACTATAACATAACCAGGATGTAGCATAACTATAAATAAATAAGCAGCAACACTGCTTCTGAAATCTGCAGCGTGTGTTATTGCTCTAAATAAATCAGTCGCCGGTCAATTTGAACCTGAGTGAAGAAGTGTTTCTGAACTCTGAACAACATTGACCTCTGATGGGCTCTTTGAAGCCACTAAGCCATGGGATTATCAGAAAACTGTACACTGCTCCCAGACAGGCAGACAGCAAAGATGCACTTAAATGATTTTTCTACAGCGTGCAGTCCAAAAAAAGGAGGGAGAAAAACAATTCAGGTTCCCCTTAGAACTGCAGATGATAAGGAAAGTCAATTTATTGTGGCATTTTACAGGCTTTTAGGAAAGAAGACTGTGACTTTTTTTCTTTTTTTCCTTTTTTCCCCTCCAGTGCTAGATTAAAGGGGAAAAAAAGAGCCCAGCTTAGAGTCTGATTTTTTTCCCCACAGTTTGATAACTTTTTAATGGAGCATTATCATAAAGGGCTAATTTATAACTTGAAGATGAAAGCTACTGGAAACCTGGTGAATAACTGTAATTAGCAGCCTATTTGACTGGGCTTTTTTTTTCTTTGGTTGCTGGACAATAAAAAGGAGTTTGTGCTCTTCGTTACTCTCTCTTTGCCAGACTGAAGAAGAGAACAAACAAACAAGCAAGCAGGAAGGTGCCTTTCTTGGTGCAGTATTTCATCTCCATAGTGAATGATGATCTCTTTAGGCAGAATTACACAGGGAGCTTTCAAAAGTAAACAAAGGGACTTTGCTCAACTGGAAAATTTGCCAGCTCGCTTATTTCTAAAAGCATCTAAACACACAAAGTTCTATCACATCTTACATGTTTTTATTTGTATACAAAATGTTATAATTTATCAATATTGTGCAGCAAAGTATAGATACACACATACATACACACACACCCCCCCCCCAACACACACACATGTACAAATACGACACAAACACAACTTACTTTCTCTCTGCCCTTCAGAAAGGCAACACTGTTTTGGCAGGTCAGCAGCTAGAAATAAGGTGCTATAATTAAGCAGTATCGGAATGTTCTTCACTTTACAAATGTGATGTGCAAATTTCTATACAACCACATTTTTTTTTTTCACGGAACCCAAAACTCCATACCCCGAACCACTCTCAGAGATACAAACATGTATAAAGTGCTAATACTTAAGCATGTTTCCAACGACTTCACGACGTAGTTTGAAGTTTAGAACAGGCACTGTGATAGTTCACTGGGTAGATTGTCACTCGGTGTGGTACAACAGAGAGAAAAGTCACTCAGACATCGCTGGGGGACCGGGAGCGAAAGGACACTTTAGCCTGAAAGCAGCCGCAGAAGAGCACCCACATGGACCTCTGGATTTCCTGGTTTCTGTAGGCGTAAATGATGGGGTTGATCATGGAGTTGTAGGTAGCGGGTAGAAGCGTAGCATACGTATAGACGGAAGGGTACTCGGGATCCCCCACTACACAGTAGATGGCAAAAGGCAGCCAGCTGGCCCCGAAAGTCCCGAGGATTATAGCGAGGGTAGAGACTCCTTTTTTGGTGGCGACATAGTGCGACGCAGTCAGAAAGTGCTGCTGGAGAGCTATCTGGTGGGCATGCCTGCAAACGATCTTGCAGATCTCGATGTAGAGATGGAGCATGATGAGGAAAATGAGAAAGAAAGAGGCGGACAGCAGCGTCACGTTGCTCTTGGTCAAGGGTCTGACGACGCTGCAGGCGGCGCGGTCGTGGAGGCAGTTCCAGCCCAGGATGGGCAGCAGCCCCAGGCAGAGGGAGACCCCCCAGGCCCCCGCCAGCATGGTGTGGATGCAGAGCACCGTCCTCTCCGAGTAGTAGGTGAGGGCGTTGTAGAGGGAGAGGTAGCGATCGACCGTGATGGCCAGCAAGCTACTCACGGAGGCGGCGAAGGAGGCGACGAGGAAGCCCACCGTCAGCAGGCTGACCGTCTCGGAGCGGATCACGTACTGGAAAACGAAGTTGAGGATGAGGCCGAGGCCGGCCAGGAGGTCGGCCGTGGCCAGGCTGCCCACCAGGACGAACATGGGGGTGCGCAGGGCGGGCGAGTAGCAGATGATGGCCACCACCAGGGCGTTCTCGCAGGCGATGGCGGTGCCGGAGACGCAGAGCATCACGTCCCACGGGTTGAGGGCGGTGGGCGCGGGGGGCCGCGACGAC